AAATGATACTTATAATTGTTCTTCATATTTCATTTTTATTTATATAATTCGTACTTATATAAATTCAAATACGTTACGAAAATTCATGTTTTCTAAACTCCTTTGCATTTTAAATATTCGTTTTAAATATTTTAAAAGTTGTTTTTTTGATACGAGATATATTATATGATTTATTGATTTTTAATTAATATTAATATTAAGCTTTATTTTAATAAAAATATTTGTAGTATTTGTTAAAATATTACAGATATTTTTTTAAATAGTGAAATATAAAGTGAAATAGCAACAATTATATTTAATAATAAATAAAAATAATATCCAGAAAAATTTTATATTTATTTAATCAAAACGAATCAACTTTTCTCATAAGTTACAAGTTATAAGAAACATTAATAATTAAGCATTTTTTACATAAGAAATGATAATAGCAGAGAGAAAAATATGAAATAAGAAATTATATAAGAGATCGTATAAAAAATAAAATCAATTAGGAACATATATCATAACATGTTATGTAATATAATATAATAACGATATATTTTTATATATTAGAATTAAATATATTTAATTATATAATAATAATATCAATAAGTATATTATATTATTATAATATATTCTATACTAATGAATTTATCCATATATCTTATTAATGTATTTTATTATAACATAATAATTAATGTTTGACATATAAAAGAAAATTAGCGTGAAATATAAATATAAAGTATTATCATTTATAAGATTTAGAGAATTTAATCAAAGCATGTTTAAAAACAAGATTAGTTTAATTAGCTAAAAGAAAATATATAAGAATTTCCCAGAAACTATGAATGAAAATTAATATAATGAAATTTCAAGTTAAAGACAAATAAATTGAATAGATAGAATAATAAAATATTTAATGAATAGTAAAATAATTTAAATTGGTTTAAAAATATTAAAGATATTAATATGTAATACATGTCAATATTTTTTAACATATGATGATTTTTTCGGTAAGTTACCGTGATATTGTCCCATGTAAACTTTATAAAATCATGTTATCTTTTTTGTAACATTTCTTGTAATACTTTTTACTGGGAAATGTAATCTCGGTCCTTTGCAATCATGGCCAACCAGACTCTTCGTCATAGTTGATAAAGTGTTTTTTCCGTGTTACTTTAAGATTTATTTGCAAGGTCAAGAGTTCATTCGGTCACCACTTTATAACACAGAAAATTCATTTTAGCGTAAGAACAATTCATAAAGAACAATCTGTTATAATGTCGAATTTTGGTCATATACTAAGCAGTAAATATTTAATTAAATATAGATTTAATTGAAGATAATTCGTTCAATTAAGGAATAATTAAAAATAAAACAAGAAAAAACTTTTCGTGAATACAATTTTCTGAAAACAATTTTTTGATAATATTATTGATTAAATAAATTTATTTATTGATTTAATAAATTATGTCGCGATATTATTATCTTAATTCAAAGTCATGTTTATTTTTTAAAAACAGAATTACATTATTTTAGATAAATTTAATATATAATCGAAATGTTTTAATAACCATGACTATTAAGAGAATAAGTAAACAAAGTAAAAATTTTCATAAAAAAAATAAAAGTTTATGTAATTAAATTTTTTTATTCAATTATACTATAATTAATTATACTATACAATTATACTATAATTAATTGTTTAATTTTACAATTAATTAAAATTTTATAATATATAGGTTCTGTTTAATTGAATACAACTATATTTAAATAATCATTAGAAAAAATTACAAAAATTTCAAAGCATGAAGTTTCTAGTATCTTAATGTACGGACGATAAATCATATTATTCTTATTCTTGTAATTAATCTTTTTTACAATATATTTTCTTATATAAAATTTTCTATAATTTTAATTCTTTAAAATATTTCATATGCAATTGTTTTAATAATAATAATTTTTATCCAATCATATGATAAATTCAATATTTTTAAAATAATATTCTATTTTCCATTCCATTTTATATTTTATTCTTTCGATTTCTATCAATTTGTTTCAAAAATCTTCTCAATATGATGTTCGAAAAATTCTAAATCACTATATTTACATTGCATTATATTTCTCAGTCTTTATATTATTTTGATGAAATTAAAATAAAAGTTTAAAATAATGAATGACGAAAGTCGAAAATGCGATCATGCATTTTTATTCCAGCGATAATCAGTGAATATTTTTGTACATAGTTAATTTTGATATCAATTTTTGATAACATATATATATATATATATATATATATATATTGTGAGTTAATAATATCGCCGTTTTACGCATGTCTGAACTGCTCTACTATTCTATTTAATTAAAAATTAATTTATTCGATCATTATATATTATTATTTTGTTTTGATTTTATTTTAAAATTTCTCTTAATTTCTTTGTTATTTCAATTTTAAGGAATTGCATTAGTAGAATTGTATTGAGTAAGTCATAATGAAAATAAATGAATCATTAATAATAAACATGTTTAATAAAAATATTAAATATCATAAAATATCATAAAACATGTTGAATATCAAATATTAATCAAATTAATCAATAAATTTATTCGTGATGATTTCGTTTTTTTTATTCTTCTTATATACTATTTATTATTATTACTTCTTATATTATGTTACAGGTCCGTCACAATATACATATATATAAATTCGCAGTATGAATTTCTTTCGTGTATTCTGAAGATCCATAAATTTCTAACTTACGTCGTGAATAAAACGATGATTCATTTCTGAAAATTTTCTAGTTGGTGAAAAATATGAGACACATAAAGATGTGCAGCGTTTATATGGAAAAAAAAAAAAAAAATAATAAAATAAAATAGAGAAGAAAATAGTTTGAGAGAATTGATGATAAAAGATGTTTTTTTTTTTCTATCAGAACAGCGAACTGTTTTTTTCTGTGCAAGACGATATTTCGTAATTATCACGAAATGCTTCCACTTGTTTTTTTCTTCTCATAATTGCACAAACTATCCTTTTAATTTTGGTCAGAATCAGTAATATGAAAATATATTGTTTGTTTTTTAAGATTCAAAAAGTAACTGAAATTTAAAAAAATACATTAAAAAAAATTTATGTTTTGGATTTTAAAATATTTAAATTTGCGAATTATTTTCTTTTTTGTTTTTTTTTTTTTTTTGTTTTTTCTTAATACAAGATCTGATAGTTCATTCATTCGATTATCTTTTAAAATTTAAAAATTATTATATCTTTTGATGTTTGTTGCTTATTTTTGCATCAATTTCGATAAAATTTTCAATATATATAATTGACATAAATCTTCAAAATATATTATTTTTATTTATAACTTTTTATTACAAATTCAGATAAAAAAGTTAAAATAGAAAACAATTATTTTTTTTGTGATTCCAATTTAATTTTTTTCAAAATTTTTTTACATATCATCTAGCAAATTAATCTTTATAATTTTTTGAAAAAACTTATATTTCTCAGTCTTTATAGTGATTTAATTCAATTTTAAGAGTTAATCTATTTTAAAATTTTTTTTAAAAAATGATCGAATATTTTTTCAGGAATTATATGCTGTTTTATTAAATATTGTTGATATATTATTTAAAAATGCATTTCAAAACAATGTTATAGTTCTTATACAATTCATTAATATTATAAATAGAATTCTATAATATATATTTCTTATTTATAATATAATAATAAAAGGAAATAAGAGAAGAATTTATTTTCTCATTACAACAAATATTATAATAAATATATCTTTAATTTATTATAATATTATAATATTATATAATATTATATATTATATTTATTAATATTATTAATATTATATAATATAATTTTTAATTTTTAATTATTAATTTAATTTTCTTTAATAAAATAATGTATTTATATATTGCAATACGCTTTACTCATTATACAAAAATGTTTAACAATCTTCAACAATTTTGTATAATTTTTTAAAAACAAGCAAAACAAAAAATGAATAAAAATTATAAATTCATAATAAAACAATAAAGAACCGAAGTTGATTTGATTTCCTATCGTGTACGTTTATAAATTTTAAAACAGTTTCAAATTTCGTATGTATTTCTGTAATGAGTGGAAATTGTATCGGTCAAAATGAAATTCATTAGACATATTCAAAATAACGTTGATGCTGGATGAATAATTTCGCAATCCATATCTCATTACAACAATATCATAAGAAATACAATAACGTAGGAATTACAATAATTTTCTTTTTCCATTATTTATCATACAATATATACATATGTTTATTTATACAATAATTATGCAAATGTGAATTTATTTATCAATAAACATCATCAATATTGAAAACAATAAAATATGTGACAAATTTGTAATATCATCTTGAAAAAAACAGAAACAATTGAATGACTTTCTCCATTCTATTGAATGATAACTTTCTAATATCTCTACTTTGTTTCTTTTTTTATCAAATTAAAATCTAATTCGAAATCTTTCTTTATATCATTTAACTTGAATTTGCGGAATTTTGCGCTCAGCATTAGAAACTTTTTTTTGAATAACGAATAACTTGTAACATAAATGCGTCTAAAGATTTAGTATTCTGCACGGTATTTTCAAAAAAATTACGCAATTGAAGTATTACGAATAAAATCGAAGAAATGATATCATTGACATAAAATTATTTCATCTATTGACATAAAATTAAGAACAATATCTTTCAATAGTTCTATTTAATCTTTAATTTAAAATCAAAGCAATGTTCATTGTAATAAATTGCGCATCATATCCCAGTAATCAATTACGAAAATATATTTCTATCACATTTTTGAAACAAATCGATCGCGATTTTCTCAGTGTCTTCAATAAAAAAAAAAAATCAATCAAATCTTCAACAAAAAAAAAAAAAAAAAAGAAAAAAATACAAAGAAGAATCGTCTTTTCTCCCAATTTCTCCTTTCTTTCTTTTTTTAACTTTACTTTTTTTACTATTTTTCAGAATGTTGTCAACTGGTAATAAAAAGCGTGAACATACCGTCGATAGTGAAAGCCGACAATACCGATTATGTAATTCTTGATTGCGATTACGATCTCGAGAATACATCGAGCAACGGATTAGTAGTGAAATGGTTTTTCAATACAAACGAAGTGGCCTATCAATGGATATACGGTAGAGGTCCTTTGGCTGAGATATCACGCGGAAGTACGTTGATTTAAAGTATAAAGCTAGTAACGATCCATGTACCACTTACCGAGCCATGAAATTGAATAAACCTGGTATCGATCTTACCGGCGAATATATATATGTCATATCTATTTTCGCAGATGAGCAATCTGCAAGCGCCTCTATGGTTGTGTATTGTATTTCATTATTGATTATTTATGTTGAATAAAATAGGCTAATTATTCTTTTTTTTTATCATGAAAATGAAGATGAAAATTTTTGGTAATTATTTTATATAAAAAGATACCAATTTTAATGAGTTTGAAATATATCGTCACAAATAACATTTTAAAGCTTCTTTTTATCGAGTATAATATAACTATTGAGCCAAATGAATGAGAATCAAGCTTTTAAATCATAGTAACTACGCTTTATACATATATACTATATATACTATTTTTTTTTTTGGTAACAATTCAATATCCTTTTTTTTGATCTTTTCAGATTACATTAAAACAATAATGTATTAATCTTAGTACATCTTGATCGATCCAAATTGCATTAAAGCAATAGGAAATTGACAAATAGTTTTTCCAATCACTAGAAAAACTCGATTATCGAGACATCGTTCATTGTTTACAGATTGAAGATTTTTTGACATAATGTAAAAAATATTATTATAGAAAATATAATATATTATATTAAATTTTAAGAATAAAGTAAATTTATAAGAATTTATAAGAATTGTATGAAATTAAATATAGAGGGTATTATAAAGAAAAATTTTTCAAGATTTTAAGATTTATAGTACTCATCAAAACAAAAAATATCCATATAATCAATATAATCAATATAAATCCTATAATCAATTTTTTTAACATAAATTTGAGTTTTATTATTTACAAATATTCGATATATGAGTAAGTTTCTTTGCAACATATTAAATATAAAGAAAGATTCATTCAAGAAATCAGTACAAAAGATTCAGATTGTTTACAAAAGATTATTATTAATATTAATAAAAATTACTTTATAAATGTAAACAAAGTAAATTTTCATTATTTATTTAGTATTATGTATAAAAATTATTCTTGAATTGTTATTATTCAAACATGGAAATAGCAAATGTGCATTTTATATATAGCTTTGTCAATGTTTTTATCTTACTTTGTATTTATGAAATAATCTTTGTTGATTATTTAAATATAACTTTTTTTTATAATCAGTGATGCACAAAATAAATTTGAACGTTTTAACAAAGATTTATTCACTTACTTTCTATTTTAATTAATAAAGAATATGATTCTTTATTTATAATAACTGATACCTTTAACTAAAAATTTCTTATTAATTAACATAAATAGAAAAATATAAATAAATTTAAAACATAAGTGAAAGTTTTAATTTGTTTCATAATTTATAAAATTCATAGAAATAAGAAATTATAATATAAAGAGAAATTATAATGTAAATTATTAAATATTTGATTAAAATCTTTGAAAAATACGGGCATAACGAAATAAAATATGACATTTCAAAAATAAAAACATTATAGAATAGATATAAAATAATTCATATTCAAAAATTTAATTATATCATTTTTTGATTTTTTAATTATTTAATTATATTTTTATTATTTAATTATTTAATTTTTTAATTATTTTCTGAATAATTAACGTATAAACCCGTATGTATTTAAAAAATAAGCGCGTAAATTAATTCTTCTATGCATTAATAAATTATTTTCGAAATAATAATATTTGAATATTATATTCATTTATATAAAATTCAATCATTATATTTTATAAAAAAATATTAACAATTTAATTCTTAAATACTTGAATTATTACGAAACTTTTCATTTCTTTTGAATTTATTAATTATTTTTCAGAGACGAGTTTCAATTAAAATGCGTGATAATTTATTGAACCATCATATTATTTCGTCATATTATTTTGTCGTATTTTATAATACATGAAATCACAACAGAAATCGAACAAGCTTTACAGTCTATTGTAAATCGATCTCTTTTCTCTTTTCTTCCATTAATATTTAATATATTTAATATTTCCATAATATTTAATAATTAATATTTCATATAAATAATAAAAAATATGCATTTAACTTTTGAAATTTTTAATAATTAATTTCTTTTTTTCTTTAATTCTTTTTTTATTTCTTTTCTTTTTTCTGTTTATATTTTTAGGATAGAAGCTTTATTTAAAATTTTTTTAATTATTTTGTTAGAATAATATAAATCGTGATGTTTTTTTTCTATTTTCGAATTCCAATTTTTACATGAAAGTTAAAATATACATATTTTTACCATAAAGAAAAAAATATCGCGAAAAAACTTTTATTTAAGATTTCTATTTAAGAACTTCATTTATTTATTATTTATTATTTATTAAGAGTTTCATTAATTAAAATATATGATTCCGAAATTAATATTTTTTATTTTATATTTCTTCTTTTTTTTCTTTATATTTTATTTTATTTCTTCTTTCTCTTAATTTCTTTCTTTCGCTCCGTTAATTTTGTAAAACTTCTCCTAATATCACGATTTTCTTCTCTTGGAAAATAAATATACTATTTTTTTTTTTTTTTTAGATTTTTTTCTTTTTTTCTTGAGATATTTAAGAAAATAGCAACAAAATATAATTTATATATAAAGTTAAAGGTATATATTAATTCTAAGTGATTATTAAAATTTATCATTTAAATTCAAATTGATTAAGTAATTATTAATATATAATTATTTATATTCGTAATATATTCGTTATAATAAATTCGTTAATATATTCGTAAAAAATCGATTTTAAAAACTAACAAACACAAAAGTTAATATACAAAATATCGTTGATGTTTGTTTATTATAAGCAATTTAAATTCATGTTAGATGAAGCAAGACGAAAATAAAATAGGACTGTATGACGATATGATAAAGTGAAATAATTTCTATCTTTGTTTCGCTTCATTTAAAAGAAATTTCAATTGTTTATAACTTAATAAAATATAAATAACATATATATATAATATAAATAACATAAATAGAAATAGAAATAAATAAATCAAATATAAAAAAATAATGAATAAAAATGTAAATAAATAATTTCAAAAAATTATTTAATTCCAAATTTTTTGAATTATAAAAAATTTTTGGATATAAATAAGTAATATATAAATAAATATAAATATATAATTGATCAAAAAAAAATAATTTAAAGATAATGAGAAAATATGAAAATTTTTATATATTCTTGATTATTACAACACTTGATTCTTTTTTTATTGCATTTTAATTCTTTCTTTTATTTTTATGCATTGTCAATTTCTTTTTTTTTATACAAAGATCATCAAAAGAAGAAAAAAAAGATAGAAATTGTTGTAAAAAACATTAAACATGCATAATGTAGAATACATTAAAACATAACAATCAAACATCAATCATAATACAAATTTGTTCTAAAAAAAAATAAAAATTGTATTAATTATTTTACTTAATTTTATAAATTATTAAATTAATTTATATATACAATAATATAATAATACAATATATATATATATATATATATATTTATATTTTCAGCAAAAATAATAAATATTTTAAAATTTTTGAAAAATATATGTGTACAATATATATATAAAATAGATTTTTTAAGTTTTTGTAAATTACAATTTCAATATAATTGTACAAATAAACATAATAAATTAAAAATAAAAGATTTTTAAAATCAATATTTAGAATATATTATAGTATAAAGAAGTAGAATATAATAGAATATATTATAGTTTAAAATTTTTTAAATTAATTTTATTGATTAAATTTAAATGAAACTTTTATCTTTTTATTTATTTATAAAATATTACTTTATATTCGTTATATATATAATAATATTATAATTCATAAAAATTTAAGTGATAAGAGTTTAACCATCTCTAAAGAAAGCTAAACTTATTGAAAATTGAGAATATATTGATTAAATTTTTTATGTTATAATTTGATTCCGAAAATTAGTTAATCTAATATACATATATATGCGGAATTGATTCAATGTTTTTCAATAAATTGATATATAATAATGGTATAATGAATAGTTTAACAACAAAAATAGCCAATAATAAAATTTCAAATAAATAGATGAATAAATAAAATATTTATTTTTTTTTAACAACGATATTATCAATTAATAAAATATATATAAAAAGAAATAAATTAAAAATTAAAAAATTAAATTATTTTAAACATATATTAAAATAAGATGTATATTCAATACTTACATTTATGCATACTTCAATATATATAAATTTAAATATATGAATACCTATTTAACATTTTATATATATATAAAATATTCGTAAGAGATTTGAAAAGTTGATTTTAAAAATCAAAACAAATATAAGAATTGATTTACAAAAATTGATCAAGATTTATAAAATTGAATAAAGTGTGATAAAGATAGAATGAAATGATGATATGACAAATCAAGATCGAACTCTAATTTATATTGTTTTCTATCTCAATCTGTCTCGTTTCATTTAATTGAAATTGCTTATATTTAATCAATATTTTTATTTATTTTTCTAGAATTGATATTTAGAAATTAAAAAAATATCTCATATATATTAACATTTTATAAATATTTAAATTTATTTAAATAATATACTAGCAACTATTATTGATATTTCTAGAAATTTTATTCACATTAGTAATTCAGAAGTTTTAATAAAACTTTCTAAGAATTCGTCCATTATAAGCTCTAATTAAAATTTAAAGAATTGAGAACAAGATGTAAAAAGTGAATCATCATTATACTCAATTATCTAGATAAAGATATAAATTTGAAGAAAAAAAATATGGATTACTTAAAATTTAAAGAATCTCTTTAGGATTAAAATTAAAAATAGGATTTATCAATATCTGTGCATAAGCAGTTGATAATAAATATACATATAAAAATTGATTGGTTGGAAGTGAATATAATATAAATAAATATAAAATATGATTGAATAAAAGTTATAATAAAATAGAATATAATTTAGAGAATGTAAATTCGTTTAAAAAACGTGGAATGGATAAAATTCCACAATTGGTTTTATAGCAATAGCAAATTTACTTTCTATTTTGAATAAGTCCGAAATCATTATTAAACTTTGTCGTTTGTAAAGAATCAAATTTGTTTTCCAATTTGTTTTATGATAACTTGATAATTTATTTCCAATGATATAATTATAGAATGATTAATATATAAAACTAATTTAGAAAAGATAAGTAAAAATTAAAAATAAAAAACAACAGTAGCACTACGATTTAAAAAAAAAATATTGAATTCATTTTGAAAGTAAAAGCTTTGTTTTTTGTAGAAGATCATCACAATATAGATATACTAAACATAATAGAAATATATAATAATAATAATATATAATAATAATAATAATAATAGAAAAAAAATATTCCAAGAATATTCTAATTTATATTGTTTTCTATCAATATAAAAAAATGTATATTTTCGATATACTTTTTAAAATGATTATGAAATTTCAGTCACATGTTTAAACGAATTTTTTTTCAAAATTTTATTCGTTAAATATAAAATATATATTACATATGGATAATATTTTATGGATAATATTTTATTTTAATTCATAATAGTTTAAAAAAATCTATGCTTTTTTCATTTTTGTATATTTCTTCTATTTAAATTTAATTTTTGAATATTAATTTTTGAATATTAAATACAGAATATAAATTATACATAATTAAGTATTCTATTTAATCTAACTAAATTAAATTTAATCTAGCTTAACTTAACTTAAACTATTATGAATTACCTATGATATAATTATTTTTAAAAATTACTTTCATTGTAGACTAAATTATTTCTTATTTAAAATATCTAAAAGTTAAAATGAGCCATATAATCGTCTTTATTATTTTCATAGGAAAAAAAACATTATACATAAGAATTAATAAAACAATTTTATATTTACTTTTTAAAATAAAAAATCATAATTTCATGATTAAGAATATTATCACCATGATTATTAATTGTAAATTTTAAATAAAATAAGTTGATATTTCAATGTGATATCACATAAATTAAAACTTATTTGTTTCAGCAACGGAGGACAAATTTGATCTTGTATATAAGAAGAAAACTATAGATGATAAAGATGGAGTGGAGATAACATGTATAGCAGAAGGACTATATCCCCAACCTATTTTAGATATATTTATCGAGTAAATATATTCCAACAAGCTTTCCAATCTTTCAATCAAGCATTACAACAAAATACTTTATTTCTTTTATATTTTTAGATTTTATTATTTTTAATTTTATTATTTTTTATTTCAACTTTTATTATTTCAAAAATTTTAATTAAGTCTTGTCTTCAATATATAAATAGGATTTTTAAAAATCGATCAATAAGATTTAACTGTATTTTTTTTAAATAATTTTAAGCAACTTTTTCCTTTGCGAAAATTTTTGTTTAGAGTTCATTAACGAAGAAATATTAACAAAAAATATTGGCCACAACAAAGAATCCTGTTGCATTAAATTCAACAGATGCTGTTTCGAGCATGTTCAAGTTCAATAATCCACTACTGATACATATGCAATGCTACTACTATATTACGATAGATCTATCTGATTGGCCAATGTTTTTCATTAAAAACTCATTGATAAAGCCGAAATGAATTTTTATAAAAAAAAAAATTAGTTATTTTATTAGTTAAGGTCTTATGAACTTCCGGAATATCTTATATATTTAATTTTTGAAATTCATTTAAATATAAAAAAATATAAATTTTTTATAATATTGTGCATATTGTATTGTGTATATTATTGCACATGTATTAATGAATTCTAGAACATTACTATGAACAAAAGTTCTAAATTCTAAACGAAAGTTCTTTAATTCGATTTAGAATCGATTTAATTCGATTTAAAAATATTCCATTAATAAATTATTCTATATCGATCAAAATTTAAAAATTGCAGTTTTTCAATTTTTAATATAAAAATAATCATTATTTTTATTGATAGAATTCTATAAGTAAGTTTTTAAATATTCAACTTTAAAAAAATTTTAACGTTGATATCTTTAAGTATCCTTATAAATGATGGAAATCTATTATCTATCATTTTTTCTAAAATAATGATTTTTGTGTTATATTATTGCAGTAAACCAATAACATGTTTGATATTCGAAATTTCTTTATTTATTTATTGATAATTGAAATTAATATATAAATAACTATATTACATAATATATATATATTATATTATATTATATATAATTATATAATAATTATATGTATTATATATATTATATATATTATATATAATTATATAATATATTTATATTATATAATATAAATAATATTAATAATATTATATAAATAACTAATTAAAATTTAATTAAAAATTAAAAATATTATGTGAAATATCTCTAATTTTAATCATTTCAAATTTTAATTAAAAATATTCAAGTTTTAATTTTAAAAAAAGGAAAAAGAATATAATTTAAAATTTAAGAAAGTTTGAAATTACGATTTTTCAAATTTTGAATTTTTTTCAATTAAAATCATTTAAAATTTTTAAAATTTTTTGAATTTCTTTTATTCAATAACTAAAATTTTCTGAAAAAATAAAATTAAATTAATGTCATCCATATATTAGATTATAATTTCATATGGATTTGTATAAATTTTTCTATACTTTATTTTTATGTTCTATGTTTCTTCTTTCTATTTCCATATTTTTCGCAATTGTACGCAATTAAAATCTTTTTTATTCAAATCTGTTTTACTAAATCCATATTAATTCTGTTCTTGAAATACTTAATTTACTGCTATAATAGAATAAACAAATACAATACAATAATATAAATATACAATATAATAATAATAAACATATATTTCTGTAATAATGTTAATATACTAAGGTATAATTAGCAGACATTTCGAGTTTCAACAATCATGATAATTTTGCAAATGTCACTTCTATTATAGAGGTGTTCTAGAAAAGCAAACAGCGAAGCCCACTGTTATGCTGCGTGCCGATGGACTATACGATATCTTATCACAAACGGCTTTATTGGATGAAGATTTGCCGGAAACAGCTACTGTCAAATGCTTACTTGGTATACCAAAGGTGAACTACAACGTTTCTCACGAAATTGTCTACTATCCTGGTTAGTGTAAACGTATTTTAATCTATCCTGTGTATCTTTGTCTATCTCGTTACCTCTGTATTATTTCTTATCTTCTTCTGCATACTTACAAAAAGCGTTTTAACCTTGATATCTTCATATCGCTATTATAGAGAAGGATTAAAGAAAAAAAAAAGAAAATGATATAAAGTTTGTTAATAAAGAAAAAAGAAAAAAAAATGTAATTTATATTTATACGAATTAATGACGTTTTATTCTTTCGAGAAATCAATTGATATTAATTTTTTAAATAAAAGTGAACTGGATTTGTTTCGAAATATTTTTATATTTTTATATTATGGTTAAATTATTTGTTTTTACAATCTAAATAAATTTATTTGATAATTTTAAATGCTTTATTTTAGTTTTGTTTTTAATTTTTTTAAAATCATTCTTAGATAGAAAATTTGTTATAATTAATCAGAAAAATAAAAATTAAAAATCTGTTATGTTTATCTTTTAGTAATTTGTTTAACGATAAAGAATTTATAATTACTTGTTATATGCAATAAATTAGAAAAGTTTAAATAAAAATCTATAATGAATCGTTATTTTGTAAAACATTAAATAAATTCAAATAAAGATATTAATACATCCATTTAAAAAAATTTATTAAATAAATATAATTTAAAAATTATGATTTAAAATCAGTAATAACATATATATTTAAATAAAGATACTAAACGAAAATTTCTAATTATATTATTATGCTGAAAACAATTATAATTGAAAGCAATTAGTGTTTTTACTGAAATTAATTATTATTTCTAAAAATAATTATTACATGCTGAAAATAATTTTTACTTCTATTGATAAATACAAAAGTATTGTATGATCAATCATGAATTTATGATTCTATATTTTTTAGTTAAAAAAATAATTCTTATCTTGATTTTTAAATTTCTTTGATTTAATATCAAATTTTTTTCTTATCCAAAATTAAAATTAAAAGATAAAATTAAAAGATAAATGATTTTATCGAAGTTTGATATTCAACAAAGTAAAAAATGTAATTAATTTTAAAAAATTAAATAACTATATAGTATATTAGTTAAAAAATAATTTTAAAAAATTATATAATTAATATAATAGATATTGTATTCAAATTCTTTAAAGATTACTTTGGCGAAAAAAAAAAATAAAAAATTTGCAATCTTCTATATCATTATGTTATATTTTTATCAGTCGATTTGTATACTATCTTATGATATAGATTATAACTTGATTGCAGGAAATTTTGCTGTTCGATCGTCAATTAACATTCTATTAATCATGATGCAAATGATACTAATCAACATATTCAATTAATCGTTTAATTATTAGGTAAGTGAATTAATATAGTATTTTCTAGGATAAATTATTTTAGATTAAAACTTATTTTAAAATTTGTTTTTTCTTGTCTTGTTTTACATTAACTTTATCTATACGAAATTTTATATTAAATTAATTTATAAACTTTGATTAAGATATCAAAGAACTATAATTTTCTTAAAACTAAGAACATGTAATCTAAATAGCTTCTCTTTGATTTTTTATATTTTCTTAATGATTAATCAATTTCGTTATTTTAATTTGACCAATTTTAATATGCAAACTCTAAAAACATTTTGAATGATTTTCAAAGAAATTTTCAAAAATTTCAAAATAATTAATGAAAAGATAAAATAGTAATTTATATATTTATTTTAAAATTATTATTCGTCACTAATCTTGATTTTGATTTATGTTGTCAAAGATATTTTTTTACTTATAATTTAATCTCTTATAGTTTTCGAAATATTTGTAAAAAAGAAGTTAATTTAAAACTATATAAGTTTTAGACGGTATTAGGAATTGAATACAATATAAATAAAAAGATATTCAATTTTTTTAAATGATTTTATTCAAAAATAATCTTAATTATGTATTTTATAAATAAAAATATAAATTAATAAAACAACTTCAAATTGAAGAATTGGTTTATATATGTTATTTAGATATTACAAATATAAGCTTTATTGTATTATCGTATTTTCTATAACAATTTAGAAAAACTTCTATATTATATTTATATAATATGTTATACATGTAATAAAAAATTTTGAATGTATTGCACAAGATAAAGAAAAATTCAATTCCATTTTCGCTACATCTAACGACAAAATAAATGAATAACTTATTCGTCTTTATCAGTATTGAAGATTTTGATTTGATAGTAAAGATTTGTTGATTAAAAAATATTTATTTATATTTTACTATAAATATCAATAATAAATATATGTTAATTATATTATAATAAAGATAAAAATGATTCATATAAATCCTAAAAGTATTACTTTTATTTTTATTTATGATTAGATTTGAAATTGAGAATAATAATGAAAAATAATTAAATAAACAAAAGAAATGAAGTTATAATATAATAAAGAATATGATTAAATCACAAAACGACACTTTGTTTACAATGAAAATTGATGTTATATTAAAGTTTTTAATACTGTTTAAATTATATTCTGTAAATATTCTGAAGAATATTTGAAGAAGTGAAGAATTTTTGGAAATGATAGAAATTGAAAAAGAAGAATGTCAAAACAAAAAGATAATGTGACTTTAAATTATAAAACAAATATTCTTTTATAGTTTAAGAATATATTTTGGAAGAATGATAAAACAACTTTTTCTAGAATCTGTGAGCTATAAATTTCGAACAGTTTCATTTTTATGACAATTATATGGATAAGACGCATATGTATATAATCATATAATTATAAAAATTTTTATCTATTATCTCTATTTATTATAATTCTTTTATTCATTTAAATTTATGTTAGAAAAAACATTGAATAAAAAAACACAGAATAAATTTTCAATTGTTTATAAATTTCATGTTTATGCGATTATTCATGATTTCGAAGATGAATATTAAAGACTAATAAAGAGACAAGTTTGAAAAATTTTAAAGAAAAAAATCTCGACATCGGATTTTCAATGTTAACTTATAAAATAATCCAAATCCAGAAAAATAAACAAATTGATTAGCTTATTATATGATACCACACAGATATCACACGATTAAATGAAATTACTTCGAATTTTATTAATAATATAAAATCTCACATTAAAAATATTGAAATAAAGAATATATTTAATGAGCAGATTTAATCTAGAATTATATTCTGATTGATTTTTAGCTGCACAAGGAACAAAAAATATTGTAGCTGTACAATTTATAGCTGTTACTTCGTATAGTTATATTATATTTTTTATAATGATATTATATAATTATATAATATAGCTATATTTAACAGCAGAAATTTGCTTCTTCATTTTTTATTTTTCTAGGAAATAGAGAGATAATTTTGACCAATATATATAAGAATCCTTACTTTAGCATTATGAATGTTTATATAATATCTTTTACATCTGGAAAATTAATCAAAGAAATTTTGATTAACAAAGATATTTGTTAAATACGATATCTTAGAACGTTTGAATTGACTGTTGATTAATAATATATTATTTAATCAATATATTGAAATATTCACAATTCTGAAGAAAACTATAGAAATGATATAATCTTTTGATACAATTTTCGCATATGAAAAATTTTGTACAGAAATTTTTTGATCTTGTAATATTATACTATTACGATGTTGATTAATATGCAAAATAATGTCATTAAATTACAATTTCTTATATATAATTAATTTTCATTATCAAAATATTATGATGTATTTGCTTATATATAGTAATATAAAAATAATATAAAAGTAGATATATTGATGAAAAATCGAATTTTGAAAATCCAATAAGTTTCTCATAATAAAATTTACATCTGCTTGTCATATATGACAATTATATTGTTATAATTTGTATGATAAAATTTTTATATTTTAAATATTTTTTTGAAGAATTTCATAATTTTATGAAAAATAATCCATATATATATATATATATATATATTTACAAT